ACCGCTGACATGTGCACTGTGCTGCCGGAGGTGTCCATCCACCCCTCCAAATTATTGAATTCAGGTGCCCCACTCTCCTCCATAGCTACGAATGCATGCAATCGACCACCCAGGCATGCACCCAGCTTCTACAGACAGTTGTGAAAGGATCAGCCGATCTCAACAAACTCCGACATGGCGCCAGGTTGGGTTGCCACCTGCGCAGTGGGTCTAGCTCTGACCCACAAGGTGGCTCCACCCCAGGACAGGGTGAGCTCCCTGAAAGGGGGCTCCATGGTTGAACTGCCACATCCACACCAACACCACCGAGCACAATACAGAGCATTGGCTTGTAAGAATTGATTCTTATAGGCTCTAATTACTGTATAAGCTTTAGCTACTTTTCATAGCTTTAGTTCCCTTTAGTTACCTTTTTAGTTCTTCATTGTCTTCTAGTTACTTTTCATACCTTTACTTTCCCTGCTTATATAGGTTAAAACTGTATTGATGACTGTCCAGAACTAATGAGCTTTGGTTACTTTGATACATTTATTTTCCTTGCATATATATCTTCCAATTGTATTGATGAGAGTCAAGTGATACTGGAGTAGAAATTGACTACACAGGATTACACAGATAGGGGGCCTGCAACCCAGACAACCCATTGTTCTGTGCACTTGATTAAGACCATGTTACTACCTGACACACACACACACACACACACACACACACACACACATACCTAGACTTTACCACATTCTAACAAGGGGAGCTCTGGTTCACACCAAATGGACAATAGGATCAAAAAGCTGTTGAATGTTGTACCTCTGTCCAGGGCGGAGCAGCCCAAGAAGATAAGCATTGTAAAACATGATTCAGCATTCAGAAGTTGGCTTTCCTGCGGGAGCTCTATCTCTCTGAATCCAGCGCTATAAAGACTTTCCTGTGATCAGACTTTCAGTAAACTTTCTGTTGATTTTAAACAGGCCTCTCCTGTCTTTACTTCTCGTGCTTCCAACAAAAGAATTGGGTTAATTTCTAACAACTTGGTATACTGTCCAATCTCACATGTGTACCATGGTTCACTCTGTGATAATGAGTAATTAAATGGCATGATAACATCCAAAGTGGGTGAACAGAACACAACTTTGCAGTCTCTTCATTTGCTAATAAAAAAATGTAATTATGCTACCATTGCATTTCTCTCAAACAAACTGATGTTGCAGATTAGTCGTATATAAACATAATTCCTACAGTAGGATTAGTTATGAAATGCTTGTGTTTTTGCTTATGTAACAAATTGCCTGTGTTTCCCCTTGGAGCCACAACTACTGTATTTTCCAACTGTATTTACATTTAGCTTTCTTTTAATCAAGTGTCTCCAAAGTCTGGGCATCTGTATCAGCTCATTTCATCTGCAACATTTGAATGGTTTCTTTATCCATTGCTCTCTCGACTTTTGTATTGACTAAGCCCAGACAAGCGGCTCATGCACAAGTTATAGGTTGTCACTTTGGGTTATATGCAGTTCACTGCTATGTGCATCAGAGGGGTAAGCTACATATAACATTGTCTGTAATTTTTTGAATATACCATCATGTTTTAAAGGATAAGGCTGGTCATTTTCTATAATAACAGTTTTTTAAACATTCCCAAACTAAAACTGACAATGAATTTCCTGCCTACCCTAAAGGTAGCATCTTCTGTTTAAACATAACAACACCAGTGCTTTACAACTATGACAGATTAGGTCCTGGAATACCTTGAATGTAGCTTCATTAATTCCAAAGCCCTATAGCTACACAATCTAGGCCCCTTGGCTGCATGTAATTTGAGATTAGAATGAAAGAATGTTTTGCCAGTAGCATGAAGTGGCATCACTGCTTTGATGACTTGCTTCTTGATGTGCATACTCAGTGTAGACATGCAGCCACATGGTCAATTTATATGAAAGGATGAAAGGGAAGGGTGGAAATCAAAAAGCAGTGTGTTTTGAGACTCAGTCCTCAAAAGTAACCTCTTCAGAAAAAAACCCAAAATAAAAACTAGTCCCCCCCCATTGGGAAAGTAGTTCTTATTCATCCCCTCTCTTTATTGTCACCTCTTCAGCTCACACAGCCAAACTTAAGGAATGCTCATGTGTGTTTACTAAAGCCTTCTCCCTCAAACCCAGTCCGATCTCAGGCCATTCCACTGGCACTGCCTCCCTTTGAAAACAACCTTCAGCCCAGGGAGGAGTGGGTGAAAAACACCTCTGGGCAGTGAAATTGCCTTGTCACACAAAAAGGAGTCATTATTGAGATAAATCACCCCATTCTGCTCCATAACTAAACTCTGCCTCAGCTTACCTTCCAGTGGCACCTTCCATCCAGGCTGAGCCATACTCTCCTGATTGAAGCTTTGTCTGCCAAGAGGATTCAGTACTGCCTCTGGTTTTTTTTTTTTTTGGTTTGACAGCATGATCTACACAAAATATTTTCATTGAATTGATAAGGCTAATGCATTATTTAGAACAAGACAGTAAAATATGCA